GAAAGGACCGAATGTTGGTGTGTCAATCAGCTTTTATCATGCTACTTTCAGATTATATGCAGCTTTTGATACTAAGGTCTAGGATCTTAGGATCTTAGTCCGTCGTTCTGACATATGGGTGCGCAAATTTTACGCTAATAGCATATTGGCCCACCATTTTACCTTGTTATGTATCCAGTTTACTCATGTAAATTGATATAGTTGATAGCCAATGTGTAAGAAGAGCAAAGTGTACCTGTCGATTTAAAGGTCAACTTTTACCTCTTCGTTTCGACGGACACGGTGCACGAAGCCTGCTTTTGACATCGTACCCATCTTTTTACTTTACAACATCTGGTTGATCTAGGAATCTAAATAAGTATGACACAATACATATGAGTCATATAATTGATTCCAGTACAACCTGATGACAACGCTTGATTTTGCCAATGCCAAGGTATAAAGTATATTTGAGGACTGGGCATTTGAGGACTGAGCCCAAGATTTAATAAAAAATTTAAGAATGTGTCTCATTTATTATCATAAAAAGCTGCGTTTGATATTACAATGATGCATATGAACATTTATGTGTGCCATCGTTTCGTACATTAATGTTATAGACAGAAGCACGACACATTAATTCTCTGCTATGGATATCTGCACATGTAGTAATAGTGCAACATGCAAACTCTGCCAATGCAAAATCAGCCAAAATGCATAATTAGCCAATCCTAAATTGAAAAAAAAACAGAATTTAGCCAATCCGAATGCCGGAAAAGGATCAAACGGACAGACAGACGTCAGACAGACAGACAGACAGACAGACAGACAGACAGACAGACAGACAGACAGACAGACAGACAGACAGACAGACAGACAGACGGACAGTAAAGTAGAGAAGAACAGACCGTCTATTTCAAACATTAAGGATTGGTAAGATGTCTGGAGTGCTTCTACCAGGACTTCGTCATTCTTCGCCTCGCTGGCTCAATCTGCTGGCTCTATACGTCGGGCGTCACGGGGGACACTCCGAAAAGGGCACGTGGAATCGGGTATCCAGCCCGAGGTGTAAACAGTGGCTCAATGATCGCAACAAGCGCCGGGCACCACACCGATCAGTCCCGATCGACCGCTGATGCACCTGGACGGGGCCGATCAATTCACGTTCTTGGCAAGTTCACTTCGTGGGACCGAGATTCGCGCTCGGCGATCGAATCGGCGGCTTGAAGGCTGACGTAGAATAGCAGGAACTATTGGGGAAAGAGGGAATGATAACCGCGGTCATCGATCCTCTCCCCCCGGGGGTAACAGGGTTGGTGCTCCCCTTACGGTTCGCACGCTGCGCTTGCCCCCCATAGCGCACGCAGCAGAGGGAAAACCTCCCCCCTCTTATCCTGGGCCTCCCGTTGGAGGGACTTCCCGCCCTGGTCGGAGGGGGCCGGTTGACCGGCTCTTTGAAGGTCTTCGTCTCTTGGCCGTTGTTGCTCGAAGGCTCGAATTGGGAAGTTGACGGACAGTAAAGTATTATTATATAGACGAGGGTATTTACCCGTCGTTCCGACGGATATACTGGTCAATCACTCTGCTTAGAATATCAGGTTAAATTAGGTAAATTAATAGGTATTAAAGTCAATGTGCATTCAGCCCAATGTAAACCCGTCGTTCCACCGGGTACAAACTGACGAATATCTGGAACGCGTTAATATCTAGTCATTTATTTTTAGATGAAACCTACACCCTAGTGAATCGATAGACGATTGCACCATATTTCATCGACCCACCTCTTTTATGATGTTCACCCGTCGTTCGGAAGGTGCAAAGTATAATATATTGGCATCTTAATCGCAACGAATTGCTAGGGTGTGTACCCGTCGGTCCGACGGACATGGTATTATGCTATTTTTTTACCCGTCGGTCCGACGGACATGGTTTTATGCTAATAATACATATATACAGTAGGGGTGTATCCGTCGTTTCGACCGATAGGTGCACAAATTTGACGCTGATCGTATATTGACTTAGGTAATTAAATAGTATCAAAGGTAATGTGTATAAAAGTCAATGTATACCTGTCGTTTCGAAAGTTAGGGTATTCACCCGTCGTTTAGACGAACATGGTTTGCCTTTTGACCTGTAAACCCATTAACATACGTTAGATAATTGAATTGACTCAGGGTATAGATGGATATATAGGTCAATGTGTACTCGTCGTACGCAAAGGTTTCATTTGATCACCCGTCGTTCCGACGGTACGAAGTTGCATATGTAGGCATCTTAAACGAAGCAATTTGCTGGGGTATTTACCTGTCATTTCTGCGAATTTAGTACGCGAAGTCTACGAAAATAATTTCTTTATTGAGTTTATATCACGTCGTTTCGATGGAACGCTGCGCGAAGTCGACGCTGCTAAATGTGTGCCTGTCGCTTCGACGGAAACGACAGCGAACTCTACGCTAATGGTACATTGTATTATTTTGGGTGTTCACCCGTTGTACCGACGGTGCAAAGTAGTATGTATATCGCAACGAATTGCTAGGGTATTTACCCGTCGTTCCGACGGATACCCCTACAGTAGATGTATACTGGTCAATCACTCTGCTTAGAATATCAGGTTGAATTAGGTAAATTAATAGTTATCAAAGTCAATGTATATTTAGGCCAATGTAAACCCGTCGTTTCACTGGGTACACATTAGCGAATTTCTGTAACGCTATAATATACAGTCATTTATTTTTAGATAATGCCTACACCCTAGTAAATCGATGGACGATTGCATCATGTTTCATCGACCCACCTCTTTTAAGGTGTTCACCCGTCGTTTTGATGGTGTAAAGTATAAAATATTGGCGTGTCAAACGCCCCGATTTGCTAGGGTGTATACCCGTCATACCGACGGATATAGTGCACAAGTCGACGCTGGTAATATACTGACCTTTATATCATCGTTTTACCAATTGGTTGACTACATTAAAAGGATGATATAAAGGTCAATGTGTACTCGTCGTTTTAACGGACATGGTGACTAAAGTTTGCCTTTTGACCTTCGAATCCAACATTTTACCTTACGATGTTAAGGTAAAGTAATGGGTATGAGATTCAATGTGGACCCGTCGTTCCGACGAATAGTAGCGTGCGGACCGAACATATCAATGTAATTATGTATACAGGACCGAATATAATTTTTTCTATGTGTGTCAATCAATTTTTAATACACCTTTTTGCCTGTGTGCAGCTTTATGATAGTGCCCGTTGTTCCGACGGATAGGTGCGCGAATCTACGCTGATAGAACCCTGGCCCACCATATATCTTAAAAATAGGGATGGTCACTCGTCGTTCCGACGGACATGGTGAGCCAACATCTGCTAAATAATCTTCGTACCCACTTATTATTCTGGTTGAGTCAGGTATTTGCTACATATGAAGTCAATAAGTATGAAAGGCAAGGTCTACCTGTCGACGCTGGTCAATGTGTACCTGTCTTTTCGACGAACACAGTTAGCGAAGTATACCTTCACCGATTTTCCGTATAACCGGTCATATAAGTGAAACTGATGGGTATGAAGGTAAATGTAAACCCGTCGTTCTGTAATGAAGAATATCCGGTTGACTCAGGTAAATGAATAAGTATGATGCATTACATATGAGTCGATTCGCTTTTTGTAACTGCATCCACTCTAATATGATCACTAAGCTTGCTGTTGCCAACTTTAAACTGTATTAGTTAAAGCGCTGAACCAATGTTTGGAATCAATTGTAAAGCATGTGTCTCATCTAATATATCTAAGAAATGCTGTGTTTGATATTGCAATATGTAATGATGAATATGAACACGTATGTGTGCAATCGTTTTGTATATTAGTGTTATAGATAGAAGCACGACATATGGAGACTCTGTTATGGAGATCTGCACATGTAATAATCAATACAAAATTGCATAGTCAGCCATTGCAAAATGAGCCAAAAATGCAAAATCAGCCAATCCAAAATTGAAGCAATTAATGCAAAGATTAGCCAATCCGAATGCCGGAAAAGGATCAAACGGACAGACAGACAGACGGACAGTATTCTTTTATTATATAGATGTAATGATGTGTAAGAAGTTAATGTGTATTTATCGGTATATGGATTTAATATATAAAACGAAGCACGGGATTCGGACATACTAAATGGACTATATATCCTGTTATAAAAATCTGCTCATGTTATTATCTATGCAATATACAATATCAGCCAATGCAAAATTAGCGAATAGTGCAAATTAGCCAATCCGAATGCCGGAAAAGGAGCACTACGGACGGACGGACAGACGGACGGACGGACAGTATTCTTTTATTATACAGAAGATAAGCTTGCTGATGACGTCTGTCTGTGACGTCATTATGACGCTTTTTCCCAACTGGGTATCATCCCGTTAGACGTGAATCCATCCATGGATATCCCATTCACGAGAGTGGGTGCCGCACGCAAGTGGCAGGTCTAAGGTACCCCCGTACCCCTTTAGAACTGCCCGCTGAGTATTCGATACTTAATGAACCGTGTAGCTATTATCCCGTTACCCGAAGTTGCAAATGGTCAGGGTACCTGCCTGTTCATGCCGATATGTGGTCGATAGGCATGATGCTGTACATCACGCTGAGGGGATTACCGCTCGTGCGACACACCTCGAAAAACGACAATGAGTTTGATAGCTTCCTGCAGCTGGACATTTGTCGTGTAGTATACGCATGGAAATGTCTTTGTTATCGTCAATGATGCGTGTGATCTGATGTCGGCATTGCGGTAGCGCAATCCCATTGACCGTCTGACAACGTCGGACGTCCTGGCTCACTTGTTGTTACGATTAGCTTCGTTTTGTCTTGAAGTTTACATAGAAAGTGTCATGCGTTCATCGAACGATCCTCGAACTCGGACGCAGGCCCGTCTCTTCACACAACGCATTTGATAGCAGCTGTACCGGTAGAATACCGGTATACGTCTTCGTTTCGTGGATTTCGTCCAATCAGATCTTACATAACCGACGATGGATCAAGCCGACCCCGCGACCATCGATCCGCTTGCAGCGTTGGAAGCCGAGTATGCAGCGGTCGTAGCACAGAGCAGTATACTCTCTACAGAGATCTCTTCTATACATTCAGATGATGTAGAATCCGCTTGCAGCGACAGCGAAGACGCAGAATTTGTTGCGATTGAAGGCTTTGAAAATTACGTTTTGCTGCCTTCTTCGCCTTGTACGAGCGACGCTGAAGCATTGGAAACGTCTTCAAACGATGAAGAAGATAGTGAGAAAGATGCGGACAATACAAAAGAATCTCCAAGTGAGTCAAAAACTGAGGAAATATCCTTAGAATGGAAACATAATGGTCGTCTACTGGAGAGCAAACGAGAGGCTATTATGAAGAGCATGCAGCAAGTAAAGATTCGTCCGCCTCCGTGGGCTCAAGCTGCGAATTTGACGGACGAGGAGCTGGTGAATATGGTAAAGAAACAGCTCGGGATGAAGTAACACTACTGGAGAGAGATTTTTACATGCTCAAACGTTTCAATGTCCAAACTATTTTATTTTACTTGCGCAGCAGCACGGCACTGGTTACTGCAGCAGCAGCTACAGCAGTGGCTAGATACCGCAGTGTTTGCTCACTAGGTAGCCATAAACTGGATTTGATGAGCGGATAGTCACGGACTTCTGTGGAAAACGGTAACGGCTCGCCCGTGACTGCATCGACCAGCGCTTCGTCTATTGACAGCACGCGTGTGCCACCGCCTACGCGAGATACGTACATCATCTTTATGCCGTTGGGGACGTGTGGGAGCTTGAATGTCTTGCCACTCTCGAGTTTCGTCTGCATCTGCTTAAGAAGCGCATCAGATGGAGTACGGTCAATAGGGATTGACGTCTTGATGGTCATCTTGAATGGTGTGGGGAAGCAGTGATGCATAAGTGACACGAGCTGCTGCACATGTTGCTCCTCGACAAAGATCACTGCATTCGGACCGGCATCGAATGTGTAGGCTGCCTGCACACAACCAGCTTGTTCATTGTAGCGGTGCACGAGTCGGATGACCTGGTGGGAAACATCATTCAAGTAGAAAATCGGCGGCGTCGTATCTAGACACATGGCATGGAACTGGTTGCTATCCTGCATTGTAAGTGTGCCAAACGTTTCAAAGTCCCTTTCCAAAATTGCCTTCTCCATCGTCTTCATCCGACCCGCTACCAAGTGGTTGACGCGGTACGTCAGCAGTGGACTCGTAGCCTTGGTCGTCTGCATGCCAATCGTGCTACTCGTGTCTTTCTGAGTATCGTTCACCACACACACGACGGCGCACAGCTCTGGCCAGTGCGTATCGTTGGCAACTTGAACAGCGATGGAGTCCCGTCCGTCGGGTCGCTCTCCTTTTTGCCAAGCCACGAAACCTCCGTCTAGACTTCTGCAGGCCGATCCAGAACCTTGACGCGCAATAGCCGACAGCTGACCTGGAAACTCCTCATCAGCCTTGGAAATGCCGTAAAATTCCGCCAACGTCGCGACGAGACACGCAAAACCAGCAGCCGACGACGCGAGTCCCGCAGCTGTTGGAAACGAGTTGATGGACACAATATGCAGGTGTTTCGTCTTCTGTTGACCATGTACTCGCTGTGCCAATTGCGCCATTTCCTGCAGCACAATTGCCACGCGCTTCGTCATGGGCTGTTCCTGACCATTGAGCCACAGCCGCGTGCGCTGCAGCCTCGACCCACCAGCCACCGAAGTCGTCGTACGCAGCTGATCTTGATGCAATGTCACACTCATACTGGAATTCAGTGGCGTATTCAGCTTCACATGATTTTTGCCCCAATACTTGATCACTGCAATGTTCGTAGGTGCAGAACACGTCGCTACCTTCATATTCGCCTTGAGTATCGAAATAACTGACTTCATACCGACGGAAGCTTCATACCGGTATTCTGATTGTCTACTTTATTTTACTAAATGTTCCGTTATCTTACCAACACGTTTAATAAATTACCGTAAATTAAATTCTAGCGTTACCACCACTTACGAACCGCTGGTTGTCATGGGCGTCATCTCTGTGGGCGCTTCATTAGGCGTACGTACATCACGCACCAATGTTTCTGCCCCCGTCTCCGTCTCTACATCAAGTACTTCAATACGCCAATCTTCTACGTCCTCAACATCCACTCCCGTGTCCTCTACAGCATCAAATAGTCGGAAAAAGTCGTCCAGGAAGCGTTTGCCCAGCGTCGTCACTAAAAAACGTAATATTTCAGCCAATCACAATGCGAATACGGGACGAAATGATCGCTCCGTACTTACAAATACTGGTACAATTACCGGTACAGCGGCCAGTGAGGCAGCGACCCTTCGATCCAGTGTTCCGCCATCTGTTTCATGTTCCGCCATCTGTTGCAAATGTTTCGCCATCTGTTGCAATGGGAATCAATTGCAAGAAGCCCATTGGACGATTGGTTTACGTACGGACGACAATGGAACCGGATCGTCTGGTGCCGCATGTGATTGGTACAAATGGTGACAAACTCAATGCAATTATGTCACGTGCACGATGTAGTATCAGTTATCGGAATACGCAATCATTGGAGGATAAAGACAAGACAGATGCACAACAGATGGAATTTTCCATGGCATTTATGATCTCGGCCAATACAGTGAAACGAGTGGAGGACGGGGTGTTGCTGTTACAAGCAGTAGTAGAGAGTACCGAACAGCAATTGAGAAAGTATCAAGGACGTGGAAAGAGAGAGGAACAGATACAGGAGAAGACGAGGGAGAGGTGGGAGAAGAAAGAGAAGGACAGGTTTGTGGCAGATGATGAAAGAGAAGAGATGTTGCAGGAGGAGGCGTGTCATGCTCAAACGCAGATACAACAACAGAAAGGCTTTGAGACAGCTACAAGTCGAAATCGAAGTCGAAGTTGTAGTTTTCTTGGAGAAGAGACGATGACACTGCAACGACAGCGGCATCCAAAGCGTAAGTGGCAAGAGCTTTGTTTTTGTTTTTGTTGTTCTTTGTTTACGTTGTTTTTTTGGTCCCTAATTATGAGCAATGTGTTAGGTCGCCGAATTGGAGGTAGTGCGACAAGTAGTTCGTCAAAACGGGGGAGAAGCGCTGAGCACTGTAAACAGCAGTTGGTCCGGTCAGATCGACATTTGACTAGGAATGAGAATGAAGAAGGCAAAAAAGAGATAGAAGCTGTTGCTTCAGCAACAAGGGCAGAAAATGATCGCCGTTTGCGCGATGAAAGAGAGACGTTTCGGATACGAATGGCACGCACTGTAATGATCTCGCGGCGCTTAGAAGCTGAAGTCAAGCGTGCCCGTGCTCAAGAAGTATTGGAGCGTGATAAGTACTTACGATTGCGTCGCCAGTTTGAAGAGCTAAAGCATTGCAAAAAAGTCGCAGAGCTTGTGGTAAAAACGCAGTGCAACGCAATGGCGGCATCGTTATCGACTTCGTCATCAAGCAAGAAAAAACAGCATCTGCTTGGAATGGAGCGGCTTCATGTCGCCCACAATGCATGCCCGCTAGCGACCTGCCGATTGCATATGTCCGATTTGCGAGCACGTGGCGATGAGATTAATCGTATGAATGCAGGTAAGTTACGATTGCCTGGACTTCCATTTATTGGGAATGGATTGGCGGAAGACGATGACTTGGCATGTCTAGTGAGGAAGGTGCAAGCTTTTGGAAAAATGATCACGTCGGGTTCAATCGAGCTGCCAACTGTGGAGGACTCCTGTGTTCAATTCGATGCCGACCATGGTGAGGTGGTGAATACAATTGACTTGCCAAGTGAGGACGAAGATGAATGTTTGGATATAGACGTGACGAATGCGGATGAGACGGTGGCTGATATGCCCATGGAGACATTAGCAGAAGAAAGTGAAGTTCGAGGCGAGGAGAAAAGCAATTCTCGACGCGATTCTTTCCGCTCGACATGGGATCTTCCTGGTCTGACCCGCGACCTCAATTTGATTCAGGATTATTCATCAGAAACGGACTGCAAATTACTGCGCTTTTTGGCAGGTGAACGCCAGTATTTCTACCTGGAGTTACTCGTAATTGACAGCTCGTACTCGCGCGAGGTAGAGAGATGGCTTCTTACCGCTCATGATATTCAGATACTACGTCAGTATGTGTTGGAGCGCACTGATATCGGGAAAGAAATTGTAGTGTGTGCTGAACGATTACGTGCACTCGGTGACTTGGTGCCACCTCTTTCCTTTCTGTCAGATGGAAACTCGTTGACTAGCGAGTTGGGAGTGTTTGAGTCCTCACGCCATAAAGAATGGAGTGAGTTGCAGGACAAGGTCGTTACTTTGCATACACTGGCTTTGGTGGCCCATATGCTGGGAAAGCACTACCTGGCTAGACAAGTGGTTGGAAGAAGTAATCGAAATACTAACGCTACATGCACCAGTCATGATAACCTTCTGGATGAAAGTACGCTGAAATCTGATCTGTTTACGTACATTCTACGCCCGATCCGATCTTCTGCAATCGAGTCCAGTCTATTTGACTTGCTGCCAATTTCGTTAGTGCGCGAAACCATTGAGCAGTGCCCTGAGGTCGTGAACCACGTGCTCCAGTGGAAAGGCAAGGATGACGTGCCGGAATACCTTCATGAGATTAATCCGTGTGACGCTCCGGTTGGTGATGTGGCATTTACTGCAAGTGGACAGCAAGTGCATCCCAGCAGTAACTACTTCTTAAGGAACCTGTTGCTAAGGCTTACGGCATACATGCGGGATCTGGATGCGACTATAAAAGCGCTAGTGTCCACACTGAAAGAGAAGCGACCTAGCCGCCACAAGAATAATGCTATTCACACTAGCCGGCGTCAAGAACGCATCATCACGCACGTGAATCGTTTGAAAACTGTTACAGCACATGTGGTTGTTGAAAACACGAAGCTTCAGCTTCACAAGTGGTGGATCCTCTTCGCTGAGAACTCATGTGCGTGGTTTGATCCAGATAGTGTTGATGAAATGGACGACAGGTCGTACGATAAGTTTACGTGCCTTCAAGATGCCTTGTACATTTGGCACAATGAGGCACTTCTGTATACAACTAAGGATGATTTTGTGGACCCTGAACGTTTGGAAGATTCCGCATATAATCAAACTGAAAGCACTACAGCTGACGGCGAATACAATGCTGCCTCTGTGTCGTACCCTTACGCCGCGATGTCGAGAGGTTCTAGTCGTACGCCTATTCCACGCGATGAAGAAGTGGCTGCACTAATTCAACTGACTCCTGAGAGCTTGCGTGACGAGGTTCAAAACCGGCCATTTACGGCCGAAGAGGCGGAAAAATGTATTATGACGCCACGAGATGTTGAAAATGCGCGCGCTCAACTAGAGGAATCGCTAGCAAGTACCCGAGATTTAATGAACGAGTTGGGGCGCTCTGGTCCGTGGCGCAAACATGTTAAGCATTCTAACAGCTTAAAATGCGAACTGGCTAAGCAATTAGCGATCCGAGAAAAGCTTGTGAAGCATCAGTGGGCTCGATACTATACGAAGTATCAAGAATTTGCACCACCACAGACCCAAGATGCAAGCTCAGACCAAGAGGATGAAGAGAAGACTCCATTTGAGAACGCTAATAGCCAGCCGCAAGGTGAGCCGACCGCTGAAAGTGGTAGTGACGCAGCATCGATGGCGATCGATTGGACTGGTGTATTTGATCCTGAGAAGGATGCCCCAGACATTATTGAGATGAAAAAGCTTCGACATGAAATTACTTTGGCAAAGGACCAACTATTGCGCGACATCAGCCGTGACGGCAAGAATGGATGTGGTGTAACGTTACAGTCATCTTTACTTAATGGTGACCAGAAGGCACTGGTGGAAGAATGTAAGGGGCTAGCTGCGTCTTGCATGCAGGCACTGGGCAAATTTTTGGGTATGGAGGAGACTTGTGAGACGGCCACGGCACCGGTCCAGAAAAAACACACACGATCCACACCGAAAGCTATCCGACCTAGAAGCAAGCGTCCCACTGCGGCTGCTAAGGGTGACAAGACCACCCGGACGTCTACCAGACGGCAGACGCATGGATCGAAGAAAGCAAGTGGGCGCGCTTTGAGAAGCGGTCTAGGAAGCAGAAGTCGACGAAGCGAGTCTGTTCGCGTGGCAAAGGCTCTAGCAGCGTCAAATGCTAATTTCTTGCTTCCTCTTGCGCGATCATCTGGGTCAAGGACGTCATCGTCGAGAGTGATGTCAGTGCGCAGCATTGGCAGTAGTTGCGACCTACGTTCCGAAGACAGCCCGCCACTACGAATGGGGTGCTCAGGCTGCCGTGACTTGCGACGCCGTTGTACGGGCTGTTCCGGCTGCTGTCTTCATTGCGTGTGTGTGAGTTGCGGGTGCCGCATGTGCTGCTCATCTCGGCTTTCTGCTGTCCAGAAAACGATGACTCAGATGCTGGATGTGATTGAGGTTAATGAGTCCTGTAAGTGGATGAGCAATGCGTCGGCAGGGAGTGAGGGACATCGCTGTGGTATGTTGTTCTTCTGTCAACAATGTCATTCTTGTGAAGATCACTGTCCGTGCTTGTTGACCCGGTCTGCTTCTGAGCCTGCGGCTGGATCTACAACCGCGGCGCGGCCGACAGCTGATGCAACTTATAACTCTACCGGCTCCTCGTCTGAGGTTATAGCCTCATCCAATGCTACTCCAAGAGATACGGCTTCGTCGGCATTCTCTCGTAGACAACGGCGCTTCAGGATTAATGCCATAGCAGCTCAACGCCGTAGTCCTAATGCGCCCATGGATGACACCGTTGATAATGACGAGTCAGCTTCAGTTCACATCAATGATCCGAGTGGGAACCGCGGTCCAGCTCGTACATGTGGTGGTCGTGGTCCACTGCCAACGTTCGACTATGGCATTGACGACGCCTTCGGTATTGGCCCGATAGCTCCACCCGGGCAATGTCGCACGTGGCGGCCAGCACCGTCCGACAAGAACGAACAGGAAGATCTATTTCGTGCGGCTCGCGTGCGCATGAAGCTGGTGCGTTCAGCATATGCTAAACCTGTGGGTCTATCATCAGGCTCCGGTTGCTTGGATGGGGAGCAGCTATGGCAACCAGAGCGAATCCGAATGATGTGGGAGCGTCGTGACTTTCATGGTGTGTTGGGGCTACCGCGCGACGCCTCTGTCCAGCAGATCAAGCGCCAGTACCGTAAACTCGCACTCAAGCTGCATCCTGACAAAGCATCTGATGCTTCAGCCTCGCTGGAATCTACCGTCGCTGAAGCTGGACGCAACGTTGGAGCAAGTAACTCTGGCAAGCGCGTGGATGCCTTTGTTGCTGCCACGCACTCTTATAAAATTCTGCTTGGGGACGTTGATGCCATCCATGCACGGGCTTGGGCAGGTTGAACAAATACGAACGAAGCTCGTTTTATCAAGCGAGGCCTTGTGGTCTATTCAGTATTCAGCATCTCAGTGGATATGAATCGTTTCTTTCTCGGATGAGCTGCCGGTGATGAAGGAGGTCATTCCACACACGTGCTGGCAGTAGCTGCAGACATGGCGGCTCGAAAGCTACAGAAACGCGATCCCTTGGATGCAGAACTTATTCGAGAGCTACGATGCGGTCGACCAAGACCGAGACCAAAGTTTCCGGGCAAGTTTTTAGGCAAAAAATGACAAGGATGATACCTTCCAAACTGCTTGAGGACCTCGTGTTGGAACTAGACTGAACAAGTTAACTAAAGGCCTCTACCTGTTTTCTGCTGCAATATTTCACGCTTACTTGTCTGTTTTGTCCTTATCGCGTATTGTAAATTGTTCGCATGCTGCCGCCATCTCCTCTACGTCGCTTGCTTTTCCACGGTCAATCGCGTTGCATTTTCAACTCGAACTCCCAATTGTGTCTGCAATGGACGTCGCAGCCGCAGACTTGGAATCATTCTGCCAGATTCGAATGGTGCCATCTTCCGAACCCGTCGCAAATGAATTTCCTGACGGTGAGTATCGCAAACATCTCACCGGTCCATGATGTCCCTTGTGCGTCTCAAGCAATTGTCCTGATTCAAAATCAAAGACACGTACCCACGTATCGGATCCACCTGCAACAAACTTGTTTTCAGTCGGATGCAATGATGCTCCTCCTTCCTCTGCAAATGATATCGGCATTGGAAAGGAACGCAGCAGTTCAAAATTCTTGTCCACATCATAGAAATACACCTATTACAAGAATAAAAAAATAGCATCGGTGACTTGTCAACAAAGTAAAAAATAGTAAAAAAAATAACACAAACTCTGCTCTCTCAATGTTTCTACCTCTTTTCCAGCTGCAACCGTCAACACTTTTCCATCTCTTGAAGCTTCCATATCCATTACATCTGCATGCACTTGAAGTTGACAAATCTCTTGATACGCGTTCAAATCCCAGACCGTAATTGTTCCATTTACTTCGCCGGTGACCGCCATATTCGCACTAAGTACGACAATTTTTCGAATGGGCTGAGCTGTTTCCATTTCCACCAATGGGAGCGGTGGTACCACCACGATTCCCGTCCGACCATCTGTTTTGTACGTTTCTAATTGGTCTTTAATCTGTCCCATCTCAAACACCCGCAGGACTTTTTCGTGTCCGCCAGTCAAGAGTCGCATTCCGTCCAGTGTAAACGTCACACTCTTGACCACGTGTTTGTGGTCCAATGTTGTCACAAGGTCGCCCGTAAGGGCGTCCCAAATTTTGACAGAAAAATCGGCACTGCCGGTCGCGCCAAAAGTTGCGTCCGGGTCTAATTTCGCACTCCAGACCGCCCCTTTATGTCCTTCAAATGTCCCAATCCAATCGCCCGATTCACCATGTCGTAGCATTGGGAGCTTGTCATGACAGGCAGAAATAAGTAAATTACTACGACTGTAATATACTTCCGTTAAAGGACGAGAATGACCGGGACAGACGACGGGAATTTGACGTAAAGCCGACGAAGGTGAAGCCGATGGTGAAGTCATGGGGTGGGTGATAATAGTGAGGATGATCTTATGGAAGATTGGGGAAAGCTGATTGGGTAAAAATGAAGAAGATACGAACATGAATTGAAAAGGGACTTTGTACCTTAAATTAGGATGCGTATCAGATGTGAAAGGATACAAAAGGAGGACTATTTCTTTTTGGGTAAAGTACGTGAAACAAATGTGATACATTTGATTTTACTTGTTTAGGTAAAATATGTATGCAAGAGGAGAACTATATTTATGTAGAAGTACATATTTGTGAAAATATAAAAAATATACAGCGAGCAGAAAAAATAGTACAAGTATACCAAGGCGTAAACTATACATATAGCATGTACGTATAGTAGACGCCGTGAAATATAAACAGAAACAAGGGTGTCTCCAAGACAAGAAATCGATTATTTGTGTATTGTCGAACGGTAAACAGGCACATGAAAAACCAATATTGCGTTTGCAGAGGCCATCATATAGAAGTCCGTCGTTTTTGTAGGGGATAATAGAAAGAAGGAATGATTTACGAGACTCTGTGTCATTTTTCACTACTTCACCATAGGAGGCATATTATCGTTGTGCGAGACGAACAACAAGTAGTCGTTTGATAAGGTGCTTGCTCGTATTCAAACTCGTAAGTAAGAACTAGATGCTTGAGCCAACTTTAGCAAATATTTTGCAAATATTATGCAAATGATCAAATATTTGTCTTGGAATTACATATTTCTGTCATGCTATACATATCGACTATATGTATAGTATACGTAATGGTTTATTTTTGATTTTTAATATATACAGTATAGTATACGCCTTGGTATACTTTATTTTCTCTTTTTTTATCAGCATTATTTTGTATATAATTTATAATTTTATTCTTTTCAAATATCGTCATTTTTACACGAAATAATGGTATTATAAATAATGGAACAAGACCTTCGAGATGCTTACGCGGCACTAAAGCTACTACGTGCTGATCTGGTGAAGACGCGTCGTGACAAGCAGGTTCTTGAAGCTTCTCTTAGGCATGTACAGACGCACGGACTGCCACCAAGTGCTGCACACATTCGTGAGAGTCGTGAGACGCAATTGATGCAACAGGAAGATGCAAATTCCCAATTATGGCGATTGGCAATTAAATTTAACAATAAATTATTGAAAATGGAGAAAATGAAAATGGACAATAATTGTCAAAAAAAGGACAATTTACACGACATTGGAGATAAACAGCACAAAAATGAAGACCAAATGGAGACACAGACACTTTATAAGAAGCTTCAGAGCTTGACAATCACTGTAGAAGAGCAGACAGAGACCATATCGACCCAACGAGCAGCTTTTTTGCTGCAGAAAAAAGAGCTAAAGACGATGTTAAAGGAGATGCAACAAATGTTGCACAAGGAGAAGAATAAAGTGCTGGATGCAGTGTTAGAACAACAACAAATCAAGGAAAAATACGAGCTCCTAGAAACTCAAGTGGATATGTTAAAAGAGGAAAAATCATACTTGGAAAAAGAGATGAAGGAGATGGAGATACAATTGGAGACTCAGGCACGGACAAGCAGTACTTTGACACAACAATTGAAGGAGAAAGAGGAGGACATATTGAAGTGGAAGCGTGAAGAAATGTTACAGTTTGATGAAAAGAGAAATGAGTTGATGGAAGAAGTAAATGTTCGATTGAGACGGGAGAAGGAAGTAAGGGAGAAGGAATTGTACGATACCTATGAGCAAAAGATGCTCGAATTGCAAGGGGAGAATGAACTTTTAAAGGTGGAATTGAATTGTGAGAAGGAGAAGAAGTTTCGAGATGAAGATGAGATACGAGAACGACACGAGAGAGCGTTGAATGAGCTGGAGCGAAACTGTGCCGAGCTGAAGGCACATATTGCAGACATGGAGTCCGAGCGAACTGCTGATGTGAAGAAGTACGAAGAAGCATTGAAAGAGGCCGAGGAGCAGCACGCAACGACGGTGAAGAGCCTGGAAGTGAAGTTGGTGGAAGTGCAGAAACAACTTGCAGCATCGAAGGCAAACCGATCAACAGAGAGACAGGAGTACGAGGAAAATCTTGCTGAAGTTTTGAAAAAGCTGCAGGATCAGCGAGAGGATCGAGACCAACATGTGTCGACGATACGTAGGTTGCAAAGTGACTTGGAAGTAGCGCAAACACAATTGGAGATGTCTAAAGCGGAATTGGCTAAGGAAGTAAAGAACAACCAGGAAAGGCTTAATGGTATGCTGCAACAATTGCGTGATCAGCAACATAATGAAGAGCGAAATGCGATGATTGTGCGCGACCTAGAAAGCAAGTTGTCAGAAGCTCAGTTGCAGTTTGGCGACAAAGAGACTAATCTTCTCGCACGACTGAACGAGTACGAGAAAAAGCTGATTAAAACATCACAAATTGCTGCACAGCATGAGGATACTACTCGAATGTTGGCTTTGAAGAACAAGACGCTTCAGCAGGAAATTTGTGAAGCTCGGCACACGTTGAAGCTCATGACTGAAGAATTACAGTCTCTCCAATCGGTGTGCGAGGAGAAAACTCAGGAGCATATGCGGTGTATGAACCAGATTCAAGTGCAATGTGAGTCTCTTGAGACCCAGCTCTTATCAGCTGAAGATCAGAGGGAACCGTCTTATGCGACGAAGTCTGTCCATGATTCGTCTACGCTGGACGCATTCCATGGTCGTACAGATGACGAAATCACTGGCATGTCTCCATGGAGGTCTTGGGACTTGTTGCGTTCTGGGATCAAGGAGATAGATGGTTTCTTGCCGCAACTTCAGACGTTATTGGGTGCGATGAACGATGCGCTCATATTGTGCGATACTCACGCAGATGCACTTCCTGTATTGTGTGAGCGTCTTGAACGTGAAGCGGCGAGCGAGAAAGAGCAGCTACCAATTTTGACTACCGCGTTGCGCTTGCTGCGTTTTGCGGGAATGTTGAAGGCTCGAACGCAAGAAGAAGAAGAAGTCAGTGTAACTGCAGACTTTGTGCAGTCGTTTCGTAAACGCGTGCTGAATGCTCTTGCACAGTGGTATGAGTGTGACGCTGGCGACAACGACCAAGGCGAGATAAAGCCAATGCCGACGCCAACGTTTACTACTACATCGCGTGAAACTGCGCTTATCCTGCAAAATTGGACTGACGACCGAACAAAACAGCTTGGAGTGAGAAGATGGCTAGCACGGATGGAAGCTTACCCAGGCGTCCCTCCACTGCGAGGGGCATCATCCAACAGAGTGCTCGAGCTCCCGCCTGAAGGATGCACACTGGAGCTAGACGACATGACATCGGAGGTAAAGGATGCTTTTCTGCTCCTTGTGATTCCTATCCTCAAGCAAAATCGAGCGCTACACGTGCGCGTCTTCATTCGGTACGTATGTAACAAGGAAGCGATGCTGAAGCAGCAAGAGGGCGATGAAGAAGTTGGTATCGAGAAAGTATGGAGTATGCGGATCCACGCACAAAGCACAGTCACCCGACCCCGCCCTTCCTCTCTCAAGTTGTCGCCGAGTTCTCGCGGTTCACCGAGTCCTTTAGCGCCTACATCTCCTGCCTCGTCAGTGTCGTCACTTTCTAGCACTGCAAGTTCACGACTGCAGATTATCCAAGAAAGGTTGCAATACCTACACCACAACGTTTAAATACACGACGCTAGCCACAAATCACAAGATATACACGCAAATGAAGCCCGTCATCCGATTATCAATCATCATTTTCGTTCTTGCATCGTCACCGTTTACCTTGTGCTTCACTCCTGCAACTGCCAAATTCAGCTTACTCCGCCTTCTTCTTGGCTTCAGCAAACATGAAATCATAGTCCTGAATCTGCGCCTTCAATGAATCACGTTCTTCCGTCAACTTGGTAATCTCTTCATGTTGACGCTTCAATTTCTCCTCCTGAGATTTGGTCGTTTCCAATTGCTTGTCCACCTCATTCTTCTCATCCATAAGTTTCATAAACGCCGAGCTTTGTCCTTCCGCTTGTTTCGTCACCACCCCAACTTGTTCGTGTGCTTTTTCCAATTTCTCAGCCAAATTTTTCACCTCTTCTTCCAACTCGGCATTTTCCTGCACCAATCGAGCCAACGCATCAATTTTCTTCTTCTTCTTCTCATCACCTTCTTCACCGTCCAAAAGCTCATGAAATTTCTCCGTCTGTTTCTTCAAACTAGCATTTTCAGCCAATAAGACTTTATATCCAGCAGCTGCTCCTTCTGCTTGTTTGGTCATGGCTTCCAGACTTTTTTCCAAGTGAATATTTGTCGCCAATGTGATATAGACAAGACGTAGCAGCAAGAACAGAAAGAGACAAAATCCCGTAATGTACATGTCTCGTTGGGCTGTAAGGAGTCGAATCCGCATGCCATCACCAAGTACTTCTTCGGAAGAATGATGCTTGTAAAGTGTCGTAACGTCCGCTATAATATCATGACAATTTAGAAATGCAAATTAGAAACATACAGTTAGAGAGAGTTTGGACGGCATTAACTTCATGTACGACAGTTAACGAGCTTTTTTTGCACGAACCATGTCACACATGTACGTACAGATAAAGAGAATCGAGACCAAGGCGAGAATAATAGTCGCAACGGTATTTGCAGGTGAATCTTTTCCAAAATATCGCATTAGAAATGAAATAACGGCATAGGATAATCGCTGGCCAAAGGGAAGACTCAGTATGAGACATATAAGAGCCTCAGTTACCATCATCCAGAACATGAATTGATTCAATAACATCTTGAGAGAGAAAAGAAAAAGAGAAGAGAGAGAGGAGAAGAGAAGAGAGATCAAGTTGTTCTCTTTATAAAGATCGAATTAGAAATAGATTTTGAGAAATGGACGGGAAAAAATAGGATGGTGTGGACTACATAAAAAGCTGACATTGGATTGTGTGATTATCTTTCTAGATATTTTACGGATCCCTCCCTGCCTTATTGTAAGTAATTTTTATGCGTTAAATAGAAGTCTTAACTGTAAGCTATTTTTGTTATTGTTGTCAACTAATTCTTATTGCATGCTTAACTACATAATATAGAAGAATGACAATGGTTATTTTTCTATACTAGTGTTGATAACCCGTAATATGTTAAGACAACACTTTGCAAATAAAAAAAATCAAATAAACATGCAATTCTTACACGTTCTTCATCTCTGCAACGTATTTACCTGATACAATCACAATTTTCTGCTGTCAAATGTCTTCATTCTCTCTTTCAATGCGGTTTCCAGACTTGTAAGTTGAGCACGAGATTTATGCGACTTGCAACGATAACGCCCGCTTGATACTCGAGATAAGTCGTTGCGAAAGCACCGAGTCACGCATAACGACTAGAATTTGTCCCTTGCCACTTTGAAGCTGAATTTCCAGTCCAATCAAAACATTTTCAGCGCTAGCAACTCCACTGCGAAAACGTCCAGCAAACTTGCACTTGCCAATGACACCATCCATGTTATCGATTTCATAGAGTTGTGCAACATTGCAATCGGTTAAAACGGCCTGCACCACAGTATTTAGCGTTACTGGGGTTGACACGGTCAATTCACTCGTGTGTAGAGATGTCGAATCCGTCATTGAGATACGACGTTCGAAATCATCCAAACTCATCTGTTGTGGAACGAAAAGCTCTCCCACCACAGGTGAGAGATCCACATCGTACGTGTCTGCACTTGTGACAATCTTAAGAGGTACATTGTCGAGACGACCCGTGAAATCCACATGCAACTGGACCATCGATGTCGATCCACCAGGAAACAACACAGGTAGAGCAGGGAACGGAACAACTTGCTGAGGGTTTTTGCCAACGACTTGAACGCACGAAATGGGCTCGCTTGAATTGTTTGCTAGCCACAGCTGGATGACATTCATACCAGGAGAGTGCGTCGACGGTTGGCGCAGAAACGCATAGTGAACGTCCAACCCATTACCAGCAAGCGAGGACAATAGTTCACGACGTGGAGGCGGTGACGTCGATGAGGAGACACTTAGGCTCATCAAATCACCTAAGAGGTTCGAATGGAGGCCTGTCGAAGAAGTCGTCGGCGCAAACGCCTGGCTTGTCGGAGTCATCCCCGATGGTGACCCCAAAAAATCGACCGAATCAAAAGCTTTTGCTGGCTTTGACTTCTTAGCCTGTGAACGCTTCTGTGGCGACTTTACCTTTCCACCTTTTTGCTGACGGCGCGTGCGATCTTCCTCCTCCGAAGATTCGTCAGCATCATTTTCTTCTGAGGAGGCTTCACTTTCTGAACCTGAGCTAGAAGATGCTGACTCGGAACGAGATCGACTACCTTCGCTGCTGCTGTTTTCGGAGTCGTTGTCCGAGCCACTGCCAGAGTACGAATCCGACCCTGACCCCGACGCCGGTTCTGACTCTGACCAAGAATCATCAGATGAATTATCGTCACTGTAGAATGCCTTTGCGTCACCTTTGCTTTCTTTCTTTTTCGTAGCCTTAACACTAGGACGGGACAGATCACCCCGGTTGGTATCAACAATAGAGGATTCATCACGCAGCGATCGGTCCGGCCTGGTCGAACGCCACTTCGGCAAAAAAAGATATCCAGGAACACTGTGGCGCACAACATTCGATAGTGAACCTAGCGTAAAGCGTGTCTTGGCTTCATCATCGTACCCAATCAATGGTGCTGGCTTCTTGCTCGCAAACAACTTGTGTGGGTTTACAATACTTGCATCTCCAGACAACGCAGCACGTATCAAACGGGCACGGTCACGCACATCGTAGTCCATGTCGAACTTGCACAACTCAATCACATACTGGAGCAGAAGCTGAATGGTACGCTTGTGGGGTTCGCGAAGTCCAAGCTTTACTGCAAGATTCAAAAGCTGGAGACGCACCTCAGTCGATTCATCAGAAAAGTCTTTCACTAGCAAACGTAGCGATTCAGCCGCGCACGTAGTTCCATTTTCATCGTCATTGAACTCGCCAAGCATCCAAACAATCGAAGCACGAGCTAATGGACTAGTCACACGACCACTCACCATCATAGCAGCCAGAGAGCGCACGACAAGAAGGCGGTCCTTCTTGATTGCCTGCTGCTGAAGCAACTGGCGAATCACCACCACGCTTTCAGCAACAACTTGCTCGTTTGAAGAGCGAACAAGGCGCATCAGTCCGTTTAAACAGCGCTCCGCAACCACCGCCATGGCATCCGCCACGCGTCCAAGAGCGCGGACTGTCATGGTCACAAAGGACTTGTCTACATGGCGGACATACGCCTGAAACTCTCGCAGGATAATGCTCACGTTGTCGTCCGTAACCAGAGAGGTCAGAATCTCGAGCTTGAGTTTCCTGGCATAAGCCGGGTCCGTCGCACGTACAAAAAACTCCTGCAAGAACGGGCGAAACATGTCTGGACGGGATGTTGCCATTGACGAAATGACCGATAACACAACGTACTGGATCTCACGCTGGTTGCGCATGATACGTACCAGCGACTTGCCAATGAGCGTAGACGTCGCCATGCTATGCGTGCCACAGTAGTAATGCAACGTAGCTACTGCAAGCACCACAGCACTATTTCTCGACTTAAGAAGCGGAATCGACGAGCGTAGTAACAGTCGATGGTCTTCATCCAGCTCGTCTCCACCTTCAATTCCACTTGCAAGTACATCACCACGGAACACGGAGCCAATTGACGGAAGCATTTCTCCTCTCACACTCTTTCCTCCAAGTAAAAATGGTGACTGCTTCATACTACTATGTCCATGATTCTTGTTCGTAGACTTGTTAATTTCATCCACTTCATGTTTTCGATCATCATCTTGTTCTTCATCTTCATCAGAATAAAAGTCTCGTTTTGTCCTTTTTTTCTTCCAACCTCCATCCATCTCATTTGTAGCTCTTTCAACCATCTGAAATTGTTCTCGACAGTACCGTATCAAGATATTCAACGTCACTGTTTGTCCCCATTCATCAATATCTGCCAACAAATGACATAATTTTCGAAATGGTCGATGTAATAAATCCAATCGATCAGGACACACTTCACTAAGAGCTTGTACCGCACTTCCCAAGACCATCGTACTCGAATCATTCAATAAAGTTCCAATAATATCCGCCAGCACGTGTTTCTGATCCGGATCGAGACCAAATACTTTACTAATTGCATTAGTTGCACATTTTCGTACATAAGCGGATTCATCCGCCGCACATTTGCGAATTGCTAAAATTTGAAGTTGTAAAATATCACAAACTCGAATATTTGTCATAACACGAAGAGCTAAAGCTCGTATCAATTGATTTGGATCGGCCAAATCCTTTTGAAAACTATTGATACTCAAGAGCGCAAGTTCTCGACACTGGGCATTTGCATCTGCATAATGAACCAAGTACATATACACTAATTTCTTAACTTCCACGCTTGCAACAATGACATTTTTAACCACATCGGCAAAAAACATTGACACGTCTTCTCCTTTAGAAATACTTGCAAGTAAGGCTTTCATGGCTTCTAATTTTTCCCCATGACCTGCAACACCGAGTTTATTATCCAATAATTTACGAATTCGATCCCCACTTAGAGTCTCATCAAAGAAATGAGCATCGCCCGTCATGCTCTTGATTCCCATGGTCATGGCCATTTTTGGGATGAGTTTTGGAGTTATGTAAACACACACAAAATTACGAAAAATGAGAGGACGGATGGCGTTGTGACAAAAGGTGGCTGTATATTGTTGATTTCGATGGAAAGCTGGGTATTCTATTTGGTAGGATCGGCCGATTGGCTTTTGCCACTAAATTTTTATCCTGTTGTTTGGTGGTGCATGCGGCTGAACTCTGTCCAGTCAATTTGATTGATTATCTAGTGACTGTATCACTTCTTCATTGCTGCTCCGCGTCGACTCTGTGGATATAAACATGGTCGTAGCAAGTGATGTGTTACCATTAATACACACATTGTTGATTGGTGCTGGTTTGAAGAAAACAGCATCAGTATTGACCAAGGAAGCGAAATTACAGAGTAAAGCTTTTCAAAGTGAACATGATTTACTGGACGTGTATGAATTCTATTTGATGCACTATATAAATACGACCAAGGAGAAGGAGAAGAAGGAGAAGAAGGAGAAGATTGTGTCGTCCAGTACTAATGAGAAAGAGAAGAAAAAGTCCAAGAAGAATACAACAAAAACTGTGATTGTTCAAAAGGAAGAATCTTCGAGCTCGGATTCAGACGAAGAATCAGAAGAAGAGAAGAACAAAGTTATTGACAAGAATGCTGTTGGTAAGAAGGAAGAATCTAGTAGCTCAGATGATTCATCTGATAGTTCCTCGGATGAGGAGATTGAGAAATCTACCAAGAAGTCTGGACATGTTAATAAAAAGAAGACCAAGACTGCCGTAAAGGACCTCTCGGATGACGAGAAGCTGAAGTCTAATAAGCGTAAGGCTAAGACTTTTGCTGCTGAAAAGACATCCAAGAAAGCCAAGTGTGAAGCAGACTCTAGCTCTGACAGCAGTGACAGCTCATCGTCGGATGATAGTTCCTCAGACTCTTCGGATTCCGATTCGGATTCGGACACTTCGGATCATGAGGAGGCTCAGATGAAGGAGGCGGTACGTCGTAAAGAGGCCGCAAAGGCCGCACTAGAGTGGCAGCCCAAGAAAGTTGAAAAGGTGGTTACGAAAACAAAGTCGGCGGGCACACCGTTCCAGCGTGTGGATGGCGAGTTTTGGTCACAGAAGATTGTGGACGACACGCTGCGTGACAACAGCTACGAAGGCACTTTTGGTATTGACGGCGTCGGTGTCAAGGCCAATAATAAGCTCTTGAAAACGCGTGGTAAGGATTTTACGAAGGGCAAAAACAAACTCAAACGCTCGACGTACATGTGCGGTGCCATCAGCATGGCTTCGAACTCGTTCAAGTTTGAAGAGTAACTAGATTGATCAGCCCAATTAGTGAATGCAGAGATAGAGGAGCTGCTTCCAACTATAAGTTGCGATTGTAAAACGTATAGAATATACCTTACTTGTTTACCTTTCATGTCTGTAGTTCGAGTAACTAGCTGTCCAGCCTCGCAATCAGTGTTTGCAGTTCGTTGAGTCCTCGAGTAGAAGGTTTCCACGTGCTAAAACATTGAAAGTCATCACGTGACGACGTTGCAGCCAGGTCAGAAGTCTTTGACAAATTGAGGGTCATTGCACTGCCATGAGGATCACGAAACCCCGGAACACCTCCATCCGTAACGCCTTCTGACACCTTCATCTTGTCACCAAACATCGCACTCGATACCTGTTTTGTCCGCAACTTGTATGCGAGCATTTTCGCCTGCAGCAATTTCTTCTCTTGCATCAAAACTGAATCTAGCAGCATATTCTCTGCTTTTGACAATTGTATTGCACGCGCGATGTCTTCTTGTGCCAGATGAAACTCGTCCTTGAACCTATAAGCTTGTGCACGACGATAAAGTGCCTTTACATTCTCCTGATCAATTTCAAGTGCTTGATTCGCGTGATGCACAGCATCATCAAGATGAATGGTCTTGAGTCTACAGGCTGCAAAATTGAGCAGCAATTTAAGCTTTAAATTATCCGCTTGTGCTTCTTCTTCATCTGTATCTGCAAACACGTACTCAAAGTACACGAGTGCTTTATGATAATGATATGCAGCTCTCTGGTACTGACCGTGCTTGAAAAAGAGGTTCCCCAATACTCGAAACTCGTTACAAAGTGTTAATTTTGCTTGTGTTGTCATGTCCATAAGTTTTTGTTCCTACAAATGCACATTATCATAAAAATTAGACGAAAAATCATAATAATCCCTACATTTTATCCGATTGTAATATTGCAATATTGCAATATTACAATATCACATTATCTTACAGCCGAATGGTCATGGTTACAGCCCATTTGAGCTTTAGTTGCATGTTCACTGCGATCACGAGCGTCTTGTTCCTGTCTTGCAAGTTCTTCGGGATCTTCCCATCCGTCCCATTTTTCATACGTTTTAGTCCAGTCGTAGCTATTTTGGTCCAACTTTTGATCTTTTACTAATACCAATTTTGACTTATTTTGAGCAAGATGCTCCTCTGTCTGTACTACATTTTGCTTGTCTTCTACCGCGTGATGTTCTTTATCCACAATTAGTTGATCTAGCATACGAGATAAAGCAGGTGTAGACATCGTAGGACTAAATAACTATTTTTTACTACAAATTAGTTTGAAAATGTTATTATTATTTGTTTCATAGCGTTAAAACCATGACCTATTGTAATTCACCATACACTTTAATTTTAGTATACTAAATCGATAGACTGCATGTACTACAGTATACTAAATAAAATCTAAGTAGTGATTAAAAAAAAATAGAGTCGCTGTCATTTAGCAAGAATGTTTTTTTAACACGTTGTAGCACTGTCATGTTGCTGGCGTCCTTTCGAGCGCACAAACATCATCATACCAATCGCCGTAGCCACCATCAAAACGTACATGCCAACAATACTTCCAATGACCAATGATTCGGACGGTTCCGAAACCTGTTCATTGGCATTTTTCATTTTGGCGAGCGCAGTTTCTTCGGTTTCGGCAAGCTCATTATCTTCTGTTTCGGCAAGCTCATTATCTTCTGTTTCAGCGAGCGCCGTTTCTTCCGACTTGGTTACCACCTTGTGTAGTTTATTCGTAGAATGAGTCCTAGTTTTTAGTTCCACTTCTCCTGGAGAATAGTTGCTTTTGTCTGGAAATGACTCGGACGAGAACTTTGGCGATAAGGTCTGTTCTTCTGAGGTCGCTGATGGGGACGCCACGTCCGTACCGGTTGATTCACTTATCGGTTTATTGGCCAGCTCTCGAGCAGAAGTTATAAGCAGTGTATGCATCTGCGCCACAAAAGCCGGGTATACTTGATATGTCCACTGTCCTTCCGGAATCGATGCAATCTGATTGTTGGCTTCATCCCCTTTTGTAATGCACAGTCCATGTTCTGCTTCCATTCCATCGGGGCATTCGGACCCTTGAACTCCATGCTTGTACCATGCAGACTTTCCATCATTTCCTGGTGGCGAGTAGACACACACGACTATATCTCCACCTGAACAACTCGCCGTTGCACAACCGACACTGGTCGTTGATGCCCAAACTACTTGAGAGTACGAGTTGTAAATCCCTACACCGACATGATGACCCGTGGAACCTGGTTGTGACATCTTCTTAATCGTTGCCATTGCAGTTTCAACCACCCACTCCTGAATTGCTTCATCAATAATTGACGGAGAGTTGGTGGACGATGACTGATGAATATTTATACCTCTTTCTGTAGTAGCCGAACACTTGGACGCTGTGGAAGAAGCTTTCGTTGCCAAGTCGCCGTCCCAATTGATGCGGCACATGTTGGCGGCTGCCGATGGTAAGGCTGTACTACGAAAAAAATTGTGACGATCAATCAAAATGGCTTGTTCCACTTTGCTAAAGCTTTTGGCATTGACAGCAGCTACAATAGCCGCTGCCGAGAAAAAAGAGAAGGACGTAGAGACCTTCATTGTCTTTAGATAACAATTCAATAAACTGTAGAGCAAAAGAATGCAAAAGTGGCCATCTCGTCAAGCTTTCGCTAACTAGTATCACGTTGCGACACGGTTCTATTGATCAAACTGGCTAGTAATCGATCCGGTTCCCAGCTGGGCTAAAAATCGAAGATGTACATGCCAAACAAAAACGGCACGATTGGAATCTACAAAATGTACAAGACAATTAGTATATGCTTAGGACAATACTCAGCATGTTGTTAATGTAGCACAACAGACAAATGTTTTTGTGCGATAATTCTACATTTGTTGCAAAGGTTTCTACATCACTTTTGTTAGTTTTTGACAATAATGGTCTTCCTTCTTTTGCACTCACTTCATTGACCTTCTTATTGACATTTTTTTCGCAGAGTGGTAGTATTAAAGTTTTTAAAGCGTGCACATCTCTTCTAATATTCAACAGCAAAATTCAGATAGTGTTAAAATGGACAAGGCGGGAGAGATACATTATGGGATTGTACTTTATTAGCAAAAAAGAGAGTGTCGATTGTGCGTCGTCTAGTCTTAAAACACGATATGACCAGTGTGCAACAGCATGAGGAGGCTATTGGTGCGAGTGCTGTACAAAGCTTTTCATGTGAGGGCTATAATTGAGGTACGAATCACTTGTAAGTAAGTAAGTGGTAAACGAAGATAGCGCACTCTAGATACAACCTCTAGTTTCTAAAGACAGATCTGTGACAAGAAGAAAAATTTGCAGTGCTCACGTGGTTGTAGGCAAAGAGCGATGATGCGTTCGTCTAAAAAAACCTGGCAGACCAGTAGTAGAAATACGCAAGCTCAAGATATGATTGTTCATAATGATCTCATTCTGGACGTTGCATTGGCTGAGGTCGTAAATGGACTGGATACGCTGAGACATTACCATGCCTCCTCCCATGCACGTCATGACTGACGACTACATCCCTTTCTACGTCAGATGTGACGGAGAAAGGAGCGTAGTCAGTCCACCGAAAAAAGAGACAGTGTGCGGCTTGTGGTGGTAGTCCGACTACATGTATTCGGACGGACGAGGTTTTTGACTGGCGACAACAGCTGCATCTATAGTTTAATCTGCCTCTGAGCCTACCAGCAATGTCAATCCTATCGTCTTTAGATACTACTTACTATACAATGAGGAAAATCTTTGCGTATACCTTTTGAGTTTTTAGAGCAGTTGGCCACATTTATTGTATCATTTCATGCGGAACAAACACCACATACATTCTTCTTTACACGTATCCAACTAATTTTACCTCGTAGGTCAAACCAAGTCGTAATTTACAACTGCCACCCCTTCGTTTCTAACAAATAACGCTTAAGACTTGAACCGACTGTTCTAGCTTAATCAACCCGGATACCGCCATCCCGCATAATTTCCCGTTGACGTCGCTGGTTCCTCTTATAGCTCATGACCACACCAAAAGCCGCAATACAAACGATAACAAGCACGGATATTCCAGTTATACCAGCAACCGAGATGTTCGATTCAACGCCCTTATGCTGAGTGACAGTCATTGTGCTCGGTGCAGGACTTGAGCCAGACATTGGGGTGGTAGGTGGTAAACTCTCATCATTATCTGGTTTGCTTGAAGTGCTGGTAGGGCTGCTCGAAGTCGGATTCTTTGTCGACGGTTTCTCATTTGTAAAGGTCGAGCCTTTGTCAGAGCTCGCCTTGACCGTTCCAGGTACCAAGTCTTCCTCTTGTTCCGTTGAGGTCTCCATAGAAGAATGCGTACTAGTTTTGTCGGGTTTTTTGATGTAGACGTCGACTCCTTACCGGTTTTCGTTGAAGGTGAAGGAGTCTCATCCATTGCACTAGTCTTGGTATCACCAACATCCTCATCCGAGCTAACCGAATGCGTCTTTGAAGACGACGGAGTCTTCTCCGTTGCACTTTTCTTGGTATCACCAACATCCTCATCCGAGCTAACTGAATGCGTCTTTGAAGACGACGGAGTCTTCTCCGTTGCACTTTTCTTAGTATCATCAACATCCTCATTCGAGCTAACCGAATGCGTCTTTGACGACGACGGAGTCTTCTCCGTTGCACTTTTCTTGGTATCACCAACATCCTCATTCGAGCTAACTGAATGCGTCTTTGACGACGACGGAGTCTCATCCGTTGCACTTTTCTTAGTATCACCAACATCCTCATTAAAGCTAACCGAAGGCGTTTTCAAAGGTGTCTTCAAAGATGAGGAGGTCGGCGTTGCTGTCGTAGCAGCAGGCGGAACCGTCGGTGGCTTTTCACCATTGGCAATCCGACGTGCCGCCTCAACCAATACAGTCTGCATGTTAGCTACATAGGCTGAATATACTTCATACGTCAACTTGCCAGCCGGAATAAGAGCAATCTGTTTGTTAGCTGTATCTTCCTTCTCACCACATAGTCCCTGTGATGCCGTCGTCCCCGACGGACACTTTGATGCCGGCTCGGCATGAACGTACCAGGCTGAAGACCCGTCGTTTCCTGGTGGTGAAAATTCGCACACGACCATTTTACCCCCTGAACAACTGGCCAAAGCACACCCAACACTAGTCGTTGATGCCCATACAATTTGAGAGTAAGCATTGTACGTGCCTTTTCCAATTTCAACACCCAAAGCACCTGGTTGTGCAAGTGTCCTGAGTGTTTTCATGGACGTCTCAACCACCCATTCCTGAATAGCTTCGTCAATAATAGACAATGACGTAGATGATAATGATGATGACTGGTATACATTCACACCTGGTCCTGTCGTAGCTGAACACTTGGCTGCACTAGAAGCAGCAGTCTTTGCCAAGTCATTCTTCCATCCAATTCGTTGCATATTTGCTGCTGACCAAGGTAAGCCCGTGGTACGAAAATAATTGAGACGGTCAAGCCAAATTGCCTCGTCTACTGGACTAAAGCTGTTGTTATCGGCATATACGATCACTATCGTTACAATTAATAAGGTTATAATAAATGGCATGTACATGAGGTCTTGCTTCACGCTGATAATCAAATTAAAATATGAAAGAATGAAAGCACAAGGTACTACTGACTCGGTAATTTATGTCTGACGTAACCTTTTTTTCTGCTGCGCTTTTACAGTTGCAAATTGTAAGACACACACGTCGAAACGATAGCCTCATAGAATTAATAATAGTACTGTAATATTTGAGCTACCAAAAGAACTACAAGGAACCTTTCATACAAATTGATTTGAAAAAGGGGCGACTTGACGAATTCAATCAAATCAGTACATTTTTGTCACCCTGAATACCTACCCACCTCATTCATATGACTTTGAAGAATTAGAATGTCTCAGTGTGTGAATATGCATCGTCAAGTTGAATAGCACAAGGTGCTTGTTTATATCATGCACGAACTTTTTTACATTCAAATCATGCCATCATGGCTGTAGAAGTAAAAGAAAAAAAACAATTGACTTTATCGTTGGTTTTTCTGATCACCAATGCTTGTCCTCACCGCTATGGTAGCACTCAATCACTCAATCACCCTTGCAATATCCCTACAATGTGGGCTCGAACTTGATGGTCGCGAAATTATTCCTTGGACTTAAACACCACCGTCTTGCATAATATCACGCTGTCGCTGCTGATTCTTACGATAGCTTATGAAGACAGCCACGACGGCAACGGCCACGACACCCGCCACAACTATACCGGCGATAGCTGCTGGCGACGGTCCACCACCGTTACTAGTGATAATGGACGACTGGGTGTTCGCCATGGCTGTAGCTTTCAAATCCGAGTTCGAGGAGGTACCCAGCTCAGCCGATTCTTGTTTGGTAGGGTCACCCAGCTCAGCCGATTCTTGTTTGGCAGGGTCACCCAGCTCAGCCGATTCTTGTTTAGTAGGGTCACCCAGCTCAGCCGATTCTTCTTTGGTAGGGTCACCCAGCTCTGCCGATTCTTGTTTAGTAGGGTCACCCAGCTCAGCCGATTCTTCTTTGGTAGGGTCACCCAGCTCTGCCGATTCTTGTTTAGTAGGGTCACCCAGCTCTGCCGATTCTTCTTTGGTAGGGTCACCCAGCTCAGCCGACTCGGTTGGCGTTTCATTGTCCCCACCACTTTCCGAGCTAGGCTTCACTGTACCTGAAGATTTTTCTCCAGAGGACGTGGATGGACTGGTCTCCGAGCTCTCACCTAAATCCTTAAACATATCAAGCGACTTGCTCTTTTGCGGCAGGGAGCCCGTCAAAGTGGACAAATCCGAGGTTGAGAGGTCTTCACTGGTGGCCTCCTTTCCTTCACCGGTCGCTTCGGTTTTGTCATCAGTTAAGGGATCTGGTGATGCTTCCGTATCGGAGGCACTCGGTTCTTTAGTCAATTCGGATACTGATCCATCCGGAGAAACTACAGCTACGGGATCGGCTCCAGGCGCATCTCTCGCCTTTGCTGCTTTCAGAATTGTTGCCATGATGTCGGCTATGAACGTTGAATAAACCTCGAGACTCGATTTTCCTTTGGGGATTGGCGCAATAAGTTTATTGGCCGGGTCTCCTTCAACAACGCAAAGCCCGAGAACAGCTGTGGTTCCTGTCGGACAAAGCTTCGCCTGTGCAGCGTGGACAAACCATGGCGACTTGCCGTCGTTCCCTGCCGGCGAGTATTTACACACGACCATCGATCCGCCAGAGCAACTGGCCATCGCACATCCGACGCTAGTCGTTTCAGCCCAGATCACTTGTGTGTATGAGTTGTAAAGTCCCGCGCCAACGGAATCGCCTTCCTTTGCCGGCGGAACGACTGATCCGATATTAGACAGTGCAGGCTTGACAGCCCAATCATTGAGCGCTTCGTCAATCACCGATGATGAGTCCGTTGACGTGGCCTTAAAGACGTTAAGACCGGCAGTTGTTTCAGCAGTGCAACTTTCAGCCGTCGATGCGGCTTCCTTGGCCAACTCATCGTCCCAATTCATTCGTTTCATATTACCTGCTGCCCAGGGCAAAGCTGCTACTCGAAAATAGTTGTGACGCTCGATCCAGATCGCTTTTTCTTCATCAGTAAAGCCGCCAATTTGGTCCGGATCCGATGCGCAAGAAGGCGAGCTGAAATCGTAGAGCGGGGTCGAGCTATCTTCGTCAGATTGTTCGTCCGTGAGACCTCCCTTCGTGTCTCCTCCATCCGGTTCACAAGGTGCATCGAAATCGTATAGCGGGGTCGAGCTATCTTCTTCAGATTGTTCCCCCGTGAGGCCTTTCTTCGTGTCTCCGTCATCCGATGCACAAGGTGCATCGAAATCGTATAGATCTTCAGGTGGGTCGCCCGTGGCGTCTTTCGTATCGACCAGAGATTTCGAGTTATCTTTGTCCGATTGTTCGGCCGTGGACTCCGAGCTCAACGATAGTTCCTCGGTGGGATCACTATCTGATGGCTCTGATGCAAAGACGGATGTGCTCGCCGTCTTGGCGTTTACGCTCGTGCTCAATGCAACCAAGACAGCTGCCACAACGAGACTTGTTGATACTTTCATTCTGTTGCTGACAAGTGCTTGCAACCTAGAATTATTTACACTGCGAGACAAGAGTGGATTTGTCGATCGATGCGCGGCCACAGAAAAAAAATACTAACGTTTACACGTAAAAGCAGATCCCTTTCACGTGCTCGGTGGAACGACGCAAGGTCTTGCCACAACCTCAGCTGTCAAACCTGTATTAACACGATGGTACAGTCCCCTATGGTTCCAGCTGGTGAATAGAATAGCCTTGCGTGCCGGGGTACATTTGACTTGAATTACTACAGTATGGGGATGATTGCAGCCTATTAGGGGAGCACCTAACAATGCTAAGACTTGAAAATGGTCATCGTGTCGTAGAGCGTGCTGGCTTTTCATGACTGACCTGGTTCTGGGTCCGAAGCAAATACATTCAGCCTTCCCTCATCAGCAGCTGAATACTTGAATGTTGTGACGGGATTTGACTGTGAACGCATCGGTTGAAAAAGCTACAGCTGTGACAACAGCTTGGACCGGAAAATGCGAATGCTTTGCCCATTGGCAGGCGACAGGCGCTGGTCGGGCGTTTCTGGATGTCTAATGCAGCTTCATATTGAGTCTGGAACTTTTTTTGACGCGGATGAATGGTATGAACTGTCTCAACTACTAGCTGCTAGTAGTTGAGAATCAACTGGTTCTGTCTGACCTTCAAGCAATACATGTCGGATTATGGTTTGAGGATCAGGTAGTTGATGTCCTGCATTTAACGAGATCTGAAAGGCCTGAAGGCTCAACAATTTATTGCCATGCAACGTTTTGCTGTCGGAACATCATAGTGTAGATCACTACGAGGTCGCTAGTATGGACTGGCTCGTTGACCTCCCGGGGACAGATGTATACATCCTGTCGTACATGCACGGAAACACATTCTTCAACACCACGCTTTTCCTCTTTGTCTCTTTATGTAAAAGAGATTGATCAAAAGGATGGAATGCTTACGAGGCATATCTAGTCGTAGACGTATGACGTGAATATAGTTAGGCTCTCATTTAGATGTTAGTTCGCAGATCGTGCTTCTTTGACAAACGGCGTCAGCACCTGTAGCTGCACTCGCTCATGCGATCGGGTTCGAGTGTCTTGACCACCTTCGGTTTGTGGGTGCCAGTCGCATAGACTTTTGTCGTGGTAGGTACTGCATGGCGTAGCGTTAATCGTGGAACGAACAAGTGGTAGAAAGACTCGATGTCGATGGTACGATCTCACGACGGTCTGCTAACCGGGCGCGCAGTCTCCATCAGCATTTTTACGATCCTGTCTTTGACTTCTGTGGAGCTCGATGTTTGCACAAAAAGACGACGTTCACGATGAATGTCGTTCCTCTTGTATGTTTCCCAGATGATGGCGTCCTGATTGATGCTTTGCTGGAAGTTTGAGGCATGAAAACGATTGGGTTGGATCTTGCAGGCCTGTTAAGTTAGGAATATGTTGGGTAGAAGATGTAAGGGGTATGTGACGCTGGCAGGTTTTCGACATCCATGTCACTCGACTATGAGACGATGATGCTGGTCACCTTGAACTCGACGTTTGCTCGCACTTGCAAGCATGGAGAGGTAAAGAGCAGGAACATCGTTGGGTCGTAGCTATATTCCGCTATTACTGCGGAATATGCTGCAGTAATCTACTCCTGTCGGATAGGTCCTGTCTTGAGGAACTTGGCGCAAAAGAAGCCCATGGTATCTAGCTCAATGTTCGATGGGTCAAAGCGTTGTACGAGGGACGCTTCGTGCTCGTTGAGGCCCTGACCTGGCAGCCCGCGGTCGCCGAGGTGAGCTTTGCCTTGAGAAACAAGTTTCAGCGGATAATTTTCGAGCGCGTGATGCACCATCTGCTCGTTCTCTTTCGGATTGATCGTGCATGTCGAGTACACGAGCGTGCCGCCAGGTTTAAGTAGGAATGCTGCAACCCACAAAAAGTTGCGCTGCATCTTGACAAACTCGTCCAAGTTGTCCGTATCACTAGCGTGAAGCAACCGTGGACGCAAGCCTAGCGCTGAGCAAGGCGGGTCTAGCAAGATACGGTCGAAAGTTTCAGGAAAGAATCCCTCCACCTGCAACAAGCGCGCTTGGCCTGGAGTGTTCTCCCTTTGCGCGAGCTACAACCTGCGCCACACTCGTGAAGTCCTTTTCTTGCGTGGCAGCCAGCATTGTGTCGACCTTCTCTTTAGGTAGCACAGCATGTGTTGAATCCATCTTAAGCGGTACGACACACTCGAGTTGAAGATCTTCGCACAATGTACGTAGCTCCAGTGCTTTCCGCTTCGAGCGATCGCAAGCTATTAGTGCGCCTTTATTTCGCATCAAAGTAGCCACGTGGGAAGTTTTTCCTCCGGGCGCTGCACACATGTCTAGAATCACATCGCCCTCTTGCGGATCCAATGCATGTGCAACCACCGAACACGGCAAATTCTGCACGTAGATCTGACCCCGTAATACACCGTTCATCGGTGGTGCATCAGGACAAACTCGGACCAATTGAGTCACTGCCTGTCCTCTCACAGCACGGAATATCTCCGTTCTTGCCATCTTGGT